TTCAGTTAAATCTCTCTTTTCCTTTCTTTGGCAATTTCCAAATACCTCGGTGTATGGATCAGTTATAACATAGTTACCACGCTGCACCATAAATAGTTTCGCCTGACGTCACAATTTGCTACAAAACCAAAACATTAACCTGAAAACTCCAGTCAGATTCTTAAATAACCTCGTCAGATGGAGACTTTCATATTTGAGTCATACATGTATCCAAACCCGTTCAGAAGTATGCAAATTGCTGGCTGTATACTACCGCTTTCTCAGATCAATTGTTAAAAATGGCCTCGAGCTAGAAATGTTTATGGGTCTTGGTAACTACCACACCTGTTCCAACAGTGTAAACTGACGCTACAGAATCCCAAACAAAGAGCTGTAAAAAATAGCATAAACCACATCACTTGAGGACTTTCAAAAGCAGCAAGAGCTAAAATGTATAACTCATGTAACCCGAAGAGAAAATAATAGCATAATCAAGATGCTGACATTCCACACTATTTCAAATAACAGGTTAGGAATTAAATTCCCATCTACACTGGAAAGATGTATAAGAGTTACTGGACGAGAGACTATTATTTTCTTGAAAAATTGTTTGAAGAGGAAGATTGTATAAATTTCAATCGACAGTAGTACAAGATGTTCGGTCAGTGAATGTCGAATATTTCCTTATAAGGAAACCGCTAATATTTTAATTATCATCATTTTTTGTCTTTTTTTTAATCTTTGATTTCTTTCTTTTGTTTCTTTTTCTTTTTTTATGACTTTCTTTCACCTCGTTCATTCGTCTGACTTTCTTTCTTTCTTTCTTTCTTTCTTTTATTCATTCTTTCTTTTTTTTCTTTATTTGTTGTATTTCTTTCCCTTTTCTTTTTTCCTTTCCGACTGTTTTCTTTCATTTTTCTTTATTTATTTCATTTTTCTTTCATGTTTGTCTTTTGTTCCAATTTTTTTCGATTTTCTTTTATATCTTTTTTTTGCTCTGCTTTCTTTTCTCTTGTATTTCTTTTCTTTCTTCATTTTTTTATTTCATTTTTTTTCTTTCTTCATTCTTTTTTGCTTCTTTATCGTTTATTTTTCATTCGATCTTCTTTTTTTTTCTTTCCTTTTGCTCTTCATTATTTTTTTTTTTCGTTAATTTTCATTTTTCCTCTTTCGTCATTCTTTTCTTTTCTTCTTTTTCTTCTTTCTTTCGCTTCCAGTATTTCCCTTTATTTCTTTCTACCTTTCTTTTACTTTTTCCAATATCTTTCTTTTTTTTCTTTTTTTTTTCGCTTTTTTCTTTTCTTTTCTTTTCTCTGTTTTTCTTTCTCTCGATCTTTCGGTCTTTCTTGCTTTTTATTATTTTTTCCCCTCTTTTCCTTTGTAATGTCCTTCTAATGTCATTCTTGGGCTTATCAATTTATCTTCTGTTTATTTCTTTATGTATACAGGACTGTCTGACTCCGTGATAAAGTTAAATTTCATTGACCCCGGTCTATTTAGCATGTCCTTCTACATATACACTTTATAACCCAACATTAAACAAATAAAGTCAGGGAAATGCAATTACAATTTTACACTCCAAAGCAAACGCATCAAAACAATAAACGAAATCTTACACGTTACACATGCCGTTTGGCGAAATTGTATATTAAATTAAGCCTCTTCTTATGATACTTCAAGTTGTAAAACCAAAGAGCTAAATGAAAGTAACGTTCACTTTCTTGAAATATCGCGAACGATTCCTTGGAAGCAACAAAGATCTCTGCGAGAAGACGCATTATAAATTCGAGGTAGTGCATTTACGGATTGTTAACGATCAGTGAAACATTCAAAAAAACAAAAGAGCATCAGGCCTTTTATCAGCCTTGATCGCAATCGATTGATTGTTTAATTTGTTTGTTTAACGGCATATGAATACACAATGGGTCATTTAATGGCGAAATTTAACTGATTTTAAATCTTGAGAGTCTGAAGTAAAAAAAAGAAATATGTTAGATGTTATTCTGCTTTCACAATTGAATACATGGTAGATGATTCTCAGTGTTATGAATTCAAAAGCAAAATTCAAAAACAGCAGAAAGACGAGACAGCGATAACCTTAAGAAAGGCTTTATTCAACAAAAGCCGAATGTCATTATCGGTGTCTCTCCACATGAACCCCCCCCAAATACAGCAGAATCAATAAAAGAAAATGTATATTCCTTTGCATACAATACATTTACATACAACTGCACAAAACAAGAGTTTATTTCATAACTTAGCTTTTGTGCATATACATGTTTGTTAGTTGGTTGATTTTGTTTAGCGGCATATCAACCTCTATGGGTTTTTAATGCCTAAATCTAAATATTTTGCACATACTTTTATATTTTCATGGTAAAAGGTACGTTTTTTAATATATAGTTTGTAGAACATGAAATGTATTGTTGGTAATTGCACTACAAAAATGCATTTTAATATTTTTTTCAGTGTTGTATTGATTGCTACAAAAACGTATTGTTGGTCATTTTTTTATAAACCAAAGAAAGAAATAGGACCATGTTAAAAGAAAGAAGGAAGGAAAGAAGAATAAAAACGATAATTGAAAGAAATTCATGGAAAAATGGTAAAAGAAAGAAAATAAGATAGAGAAAAAAGGTAAACGAAAGAAATGTGAAAATTTTAAAATAAAACAGAAAGGAAAGAAAGAGAACAACTGCAAATGAAAAAAAAAATGTTAAAAGAAATATTGAAGGAATGTAAGAGGTAAAATGTAAACGAAAGAAAAAATTGGAAAATATAAAACAAAGAAGGAAGGAAAGAAAGAGAAAAACGGTAAACGAAGGAAGTTAATGCAAATTTGGCAAAATAAAAAGAAAAGAAAGAAACAATCGGCGAAAGAAATAAAGGAAAACGGAAGTGTAGGAAATTAATGGAAAAATGCAAAAATAAGTGCAAAAAAAAAGATAAACGAAAGACTAAAATGGAAAACTGGTAAAAGAACAAACAAAGGAAAGAATGGGACAAACGGTAAACGAAAGAAAAAAAATGTAAAAAATGGTAAAAGGTAGAAGAAAAAAAAAGAAAGACGATAAATAAAGAAAATTAACTGAAAATAATAAAAGAAAGAATGAAGGAAAGAAAATAAAAGTAAAACAATAAACAAAAGAAAGAAATAGGAAAATAGTAAAAGAAAGGTGGAAGGAAAGAGACAAACATGAAACCATTGCAAGAAACGATAAAAGAGTAAAAGAAAGAAGGAAGGAAAGAATGAGAACAACGGCAAACGAAGAAAATTAATGGAAAGATGTTAAAAGAGATAAAAAGGAAAGAAAGAAAAAACCTTGAAAGAAATAAAGGAAAACGGTAAACTTAAGAAATTAAAGGAAAAAAAGGTAAAAGTAAGAAGGAAGGAAAGAAAGAGAAAAACAGAAAACGAAAGAAATTAATGGAAAATAATAAACACAAAAACGGTAAATGGAAGAAACTAAAGGAAAAATGGTAAAAGAAAAAAAGGAAGTAAACCAAGAGAAAAACGGTAAAACAAAATGAAGAAAGGAAGGAAAACGATAAGGGGAAGAAATTAATAGAAAAATGGTGAAAGAAAGAAGGACGGGGAAAAGGTAAACGGAAGAAAGAAAAGAAAAAATGGTAAAAGAAAATCGAAGGAAATAAAGAGATAATAGGTTAACAAAAGAAAGAAATGGAAAAATTATTTAAAGAAAGAAAGAAAGAAAGAAAGAAAGAAAGAAAGAAAGAAAGAGAAAAACGGTAAACAAAGAAAAATAATTGAAAATGTTTAATGAAAGAAGGAAGGAAAGAAAGAGACAAAGGGTAAACGAAAGAGAGAAATAGGAAAAATGATAAAAGAATTAAGGAAGGAAATAAAATGGTAAACGTTACACGAAAGAAAGAAATGAAAAAGAGATAAAAGAAAAATGGTGAAAGAAAGAAAGGCAAACAGTAAGCAGAAGAAATTAATAGAAAAATAGTCAAAGGAGTAGACGGAAGGCAGATTGGGAGAAACGGTAAACGTAAGAAAGAAATAAAAAAATGGTAAAGACCGAAGGAAAGATAGAAAAAAAAACGGTAAAGGAAAGAAAAAAAATGAAAAATTGATGGAAAAATGGTAAAAGAAAGAAAATAAGATAGAGAAAAAAAGGTAAACGAAAAAAATGTGAAAATGTTAAAATGAAATGGAAAGAAAAGAAAGAGAGCAACTGCAAACGAAAAAAAAATGTTAAAAGAAATAATGAAGCGATCTAAGAGGAAAAATGTAAACGAAAGATGAAAATATAAAACAAAGATTTAAATGTTAAAGACGGTAAATGAAGGAAATTAATTGAAAATAATAAATAAAAGAATGGCTGGAAAATGAAAAAGTAAAATGGTAAACAAAAGAAAGAAATAGGAAAATGGTAAAAGAAAGAAGGCAAGTAAGAGAAAAAACGGGAAACCTTTGAAAGAAATGAAAAAAAATGAGAAGGAAGGAAAAGACAAACGTGAAACTATTGAAAGAAATAGAAAAAAGTCTAAAAGGAAGAAGAAAAGGAAGAGAAAAACGGCAAACAAAGAAAATTAATGGCAGGATGATAAGATAAAACAGGAATGAAAGAAAGAGAAAAACGGCGAAAGAAATATATGAAAACAGTAAACGTAAATAATTAATGATTAATTAATTAATTAATTAATTAATGAGAAATTAATTAAAACTGTAAAATTAAGAAGGAAGAAAAGAAAAGAAAAGAAAAAACCAAAGAACCAAAGAAAGAATAGGAAAATGGTAAAAGAAATAATGAAGAAAACAAGAGAAAAATGATGAAAGAAAGAAACAAAAGAAAACGGTTAGCGGAAGAAATTGATAGGAAAATGGTAAAAGAAAGAAGGAAAGAAGGAAAAAGAGAAAGGAAAAAGGAAAGAAATTAATGGGAAAATGGTAAAAGAAAGAAGGAAAGAAGGAAAAAGAGAAACGAAAAAGGAAAGAAATTAATGGGAAAATGGTAAAAGAAAGAAGGAAAAAGAGAAACGAAAAAGGAAAGAAATTAATGGGAAAATGGTAAAAGAAAGAAGGAAAAAGAGAAACGAAAAAGGAAAGAAATTAATGGGAAAATGGTAAAAGAAAGAAAGAAGAAAAGAACGAAAAAGAGAAACGGTAAAGGAAAGGAATTAATGGGAAAATGGTAAAAGAAAGAAAGAAGCCAAGAAAAAGAAAAACGGTAAACCAAAAAAAAAAAAAAAAAAGAAATTAAATTCTTTTAAAAGAAAGGAGGAATTAAGAAAGAGAAAATTGGTACGCTAAAGAAAGAAATGAAAATATGTTGAAAAAAAAAGAGGGGAAGAAAGAAAGGGAAAAACGGCAAAAATGTTCCAAGAGGAAAGGAATGAAAAAAAAAAAAAAGAAAAACAGTGAAAGAAAGAAAAGAAAAAAGGTAAGCGGAAGAAATTAATAGAAAAATAGGAAAAGAAAGAAACAAAGGAAATTAATTCAAAATGGTAAAAGAAGGAAAACAAAAGTAAGACGGTAAACGTAAGAAAGAAATAGGAAAACGGTAAGAGAAGAAAACATTGAAAGAAAGAGAAAAACGGTAAGCCAAAGAAAGAAATGGAAAAATTGTAAAAGAAATAAGGTAAGATATTTATAACGTCTTTCTTGAAAATAGAAATCTCAATATATTTCAAATTAGAAGATTGCTTAGATATTGCATTGGCTATGACAGTATAAAGAAGATATAGCGCCAGCCTTCTCTTTGTTATAGTGCTGGCACATCGTGAATAACGCTATTTGAAAAAAGAATTACTTAAAAGACCGATATCTAAGATCTGAAAAGTCGTAACCCCCTCAACTAAACCTTCTTGATAAGTACAGACAAGATAGATTAACTCACAAGGAATAAAATTAAAACAGAAAGCACAGAATATTTGAATCTCTCGCGCTTCTCATCAACGAAATTATGATTTACCTGATGCATTTGCGTTTATTCAGCAACAAGTAGTTGCAGTGTTACGTCATGTTATTCAATGCTCACTCTCTCTCTCTGTCTCTCTCTCTACCCGCTAAAGCATTAAGCTAATCCTTTGTTCTGTGTTTAATGGAGCGTGTAAAAACAGCCAACCAACCAAGAAAACTAAAACTATAATGATAAAGGACCCCCACTTTTCCCCCAGATTATCATGCTCGGCTTACATCTTTTGTTAACTTTACTTCCATTCATCCCGGGCAAGATGCTCGAGGTGAACTCGATTGCATGACGCTCTCGCTTTAGTAAGGAAACGGCAATAAATATAAGACTATCCTTTGTACTGACAGTCACGCACATATAGGATAAACCGATAATTGTGAATATAATGCAGGCGCATTCATTCCCACAAAGGCACGCGTCACCGTACTCAGGCGGTCTTTGGTTGAGACGTAGGTGAAGTAAAATGAAGCGCTCACGTAAGTTTGAAGAGACACGGCTCAATCTCAAAGCAAATGCAGTTAATACACATTTACTAAATCGTATATGAAGAAACACACGCTATATCCGCAGCGTCACACGCTTCATTCAGATATAAGATGACGCAGGCTTACATTTTTATGTGATAATTTGAAACGGGAATCTGAATATTTGGCTGATGCATTTTTGCCAGGCGTAAACACGGCATACAATACATACATACATACATACATACATACATACATATGACGTCACACATTATGAAATGGACAAAGTCCGACAATTATTTTTTAAGACATTTTTTATGTTTATACGTTCTTTTTATAGATACAAATATTTAAGTAAATGCTCTGTTTATAATAAACATTATTAAACAACATTTACCGACCTGAATGTCCGAGAAATTTGCATAAACAATATGCGCCTCCGACAGGAATCTAACCTGTATCCTATACTGAACCGTCATATAGCCTGACGTACCTTAACCGATTGGGCCACAGAGGAGCGTTCGGTTAGCAAGAAAAAAAGATTTCGGACTTTGTCCATTTCATAATGTGTGACGTCATTTGTTTACATCTGGATACGCATTGAGCAGATATCAATGCATGAGAGAAAATCATGGAGAATTGTGTTTAAAAACAGTAAAATCCACCTTACTTTGATGTGGATTGTTTCACTGCGAAGAAGACTCAACCTTTTGCATCTTTATTTGAGGTGAATCCTGTATAATATTTTGGTAATATCTACCAATATATGTCGTATATTAATAGTTTTATTTTGTTTTGTTACGTGATGACCGATATTTGCACGAATGGCGCTTAGTGTCAACATGTGACAAGTCAATCTACGAGAGAGAGTGGTGCATGTGTGACTAATATAAAAATTTTATGTTGTTTTTATTAAGTAGTATCGGTGATACAATCACCGAAAGAACGGTAGAATTCATGAACATCGTTTTTACATAATAATGATAATAATATACACATAACTCATGACCCAAAAATCAACATCAAAAATACGTAGGTTTGTTAGCGAGGTAGTTCAATTAACTATTAACAGCTAGTAGTAATTTCAATCCACAAATATGAGGATTTACGCTAATCAAAGCTAAGCTTGTTATATAATCAAAAATATTTTGTAGCAGCTTGCTTAAGCATTGAATAATGGTTTACAAGTAATTTTTTTTTAATTTTTTTTTTTTACAGTAAGGTTCACTCTGTACAAGGCCCGGCGGCCAGTCGAGGTAGAGGGTAGTTTACGTGGATAGTGGGGGGAAGATAACGATTGAATCTAGACTTGAACAAATGAAGAATATATTGATCGGGGAAACATCCTTTTGTGAGTCCGTTCCATGAGGCAGTTGTTCGCGGGAAGAATCTGTTTGAGTGGAACTTACTTCTCACCGATGGAATACGGAAGGAATGTGGATGGTTTACTACAATGTATGTGGCATGGCGGGTCCTTGTCGTGAAGGTTTAGGCTGGCGGGAACAAGGAATATAGTTCGTCCGAGCGGTTTTCGTGTTAGTAGCGATAGAGAAGCAAGAGACTCGCCACACCCAGCCCGTGAGAAAGAGGTTAGAGGGCGGAAAATATTTATTCTCCAACAAGGACTCAGAGTCGCTGGAAAGTGAGGTCTGTGCAGCTCCCGCCTAAATATGGCAACATTTTTCGGTCTGATCTGGCACTTATAAAGGTAGACGATATCATCAGGTACTTACTGGAGCGGTACTGGGAGCCAATCGTTTCACCTGTTTCTTTAGCGATAGATTTTATACAAGAGTTTCACTTGAGGTCGGAGGTGAGTTTGGGGCCCACTATTCCCTCAAGGCACGGACTGGTTGTCTATTGTTAATCAGTAGTGAAATCGATCTTCATCGGGTCACATGTGCCAAATTAAACAATGCTCTTCTAGTCGATTGCTTCAGTCTAGGTGACCATAGCTATCGCGAAGTTCATCCTAACCACCTACTCCTCCCCACTCTTCTATTCTTGTACACTCAACTGAAGAGTAAAGGGCTACGTTTCTCGACAAAACTAGTCGTTTCTACGGTGATTTCCATAACAGTTGCGTTGTTACGGGATGAATTCGTTCTCCCCTTGTCCAACTGGTTTTGCATCCTTCTACGCACTGATCGGGTTCGTCTACTTACAGCAAAATCACGTTGAAACACTGTTTTCCGTGCCATCAACGAAGTTAAGCAACGTCGAGCCTGATCAGTACCGCTTGGGAATACCAGGTGCCGTAAGCTTCGGTGTGCAGGTGGTGTAATGGATAATGGCTCGGAATTGTTAATCGGTGAGCCGAGTTCCAATTCCAGCCGGGGTCGTTATAATCCCTTTTGCGCAAATATCCTTGGGAAAGATATGAATCCACCGCTTCTTTCCCCCAAGCTATGGCTTAATTAGTAAGACTTGTATCACGAAAATCATTATTATCTCAAAGATAAAAATAAATAAAAATTGTGTACAAAATATTTAAATGTCGACATTAAATAACCTATAGAGGTGTTGATATGCCGCTAAACAAATACTGTCAAACCAAAGCAACCAGAGTTAGTCACTAAGGAAAATACCTCGATTTAAATTAAACAGACTTTTATTCAAATTGTAGATACTTTTACTAAAAAAGGAGACGCTGTTATTCAAAATAAAAAGAACCTTTAATGACTCAATAGGTCCATTTATTCAGTCTAAAGATACTCATATTCAAAATAAAAGATACGTTTATTCAATATAAAGAGATCAACATTCACTACACTAAAAATTAGTATATAAAATAATGAATCGCTGAAATCAAATGTTTTATTTTCTGTTTGTCGCTCTACTGATTGCCGATTGGTCAAAATCATGCGATAGGGCATCGTCCGAAATTTCTAAAGAAAAAACTACTTTACAGTAATGAGACTGATTGAAACAGAGAAAAAATCTCCAAGGAAATTTTCTGAGATAATGAATTTTTCAAAAGCCGCTATCTCAAGAGTCATTAAAAATCTCACCGAACTAGGCCAGACTTATATAGATACATTTGTTGAAAATAAGTGACTTGTTGGGACTTCTCTGGCTAACATTCTGAACTGACATAATGACTATATTGAATCTATTGCTAGGTGAAGTTTACTGTTTCTTGCGAGACAATCTATTTCTCCAGATGTCTATACATATCTATAAGTCTACCATTATATGCATATATATAGGAGGCACGGTGGAGTAATGGATAGCGGCTTAGATTGAGGAATTGGAACTCGGCTCACCGATTAACAATTCCGAGCCATTATCCATTACATTCACTTACGTGCTAATACCCTTGGGAAAGGTATGAATCTTCTCCCTCCAGCTATGGGTTAAATAGCAGGACAGTCTGGGTTCTATAGCCTTGGATGGTAACTGGTCTAGAAGGACAACTCTGAATTCAAAACCTGCGGGAACCTTGTGGCATTCGGTGCACCAGGTCCCTGTATTCGTCCTTTCAAAAAGTGTGGATGGTCCTGCACGAGGCCTTCACCACTATAATCAAATCTCATGTGCCGGTGTCGGGCTCCTGGAAACTGATCTGCTTGACCCTCATACGTCGAATTTCGACGGGAGAGTCGATTATATATATATATATATATATATATATACACATGCTTAGAATATTGCTGCTATATATGATCCGGTGCTCCTGCTATTTACCTTGAACTATTTGATAAGATCCAAAGAATCAGCAATATTTTTCCATCACTGTAAGGTTGCCTTTCTCTGCCATTTTATAAAGACTTTCATGGTAATTAATCGGATGAGCTCTTCGCTATAGTACCTTTTTTTTTGTAATTTAAGCGTAATACTAGACTGGCGTCGAGATCTCATCAATTTACAGTTGATCTGGCTACATGTAATCGTACATGCTATGCTAAAAGTTTCTTTTCTCGCACTTCTCGCTTGTGAAACCCCCTTCCAGAATCATGTTTTCCAGCCAAGTTTAATTTGCAAAAATTTAAATGCTATCTACTGTCTTCCTGATTACTGTCTTCTCTTTTTGCTCATTATTAATGTCTCTGTTCCTAATTCTTGCACACCTTGTAACCCTTTGTGTTTTAGTGGCTTTACTACCTTTCATGGGGTGATAGGGATAAAAAAAAAAGAAAAAGTGTAGAAATAACGGAGGATGAGATCGGAGAGCCAAAGCCTTAATCGAAAACATGTTGAATGCAAAGCTCGGATTTATTTAAAAATTGATTTATTCAGAATTTAAAAAAAAAGAATCTGAGTCAATCAACTGAAATTCTCAAGACTATTATTATTCATGAATCGCAAGCGTAAAAGTTTAGTTGGACTTCCAAACTTTATGCAAGAAGAGAATGTGCTAACCATTATTTACTCGGGTTTAACCAGTTTTCTTTTTCGTAGACAAAACAAGTGTTCAAACTACACACGAAGCGGATATATATTGTCAGAGTGTAAAGCATAAAAATCATCCTATCCAATGGAGGATGAAATTGTAGCATTTTATGTGCTATTTCCATAAGACGAATCTTAGCTCATCAAATTATTATTTGTGTTGTTTAATTCCGAGACTGCATCTTCTGAAACTAGAAAGTAACGAGAAAGTGATAATAAAGGAGAATGGGAAATTCTGCCAGTCAAGAGTTGTGCTCAGTGTAATTACAAGCATTGGGCTACATGCTAGATTTTTATCACCTTACAGTTCAATATTAAACCCAACGGAAAAGGCTTACTATTCTTTAAAAGGAACAATTTCTGCTGATTCTGAGGCTCCATGCGACACAGAGTAATTAAAGAACAAGCTTGTTCAGAATTTGGAGGATTTTTCTATGAGAGTCGATGGTTATTATTTTCACATGGAAGAATTTTACAAAATATATTTGACCTAAGATGCAA